TTTAAATAGCTACCTACAAAACTTTATAGTAAGTGATATCACATTTCATGTAAGGTTTTTTTGTAAATATATTTTGTCCCATCTAATGTGTATATACACTGTTTTCATATGAATAAAGCTAAAACTGGCTAAAATGGTTTCAATTGTGTAATGTTTATCCATACATAACAGAAGCTTCGTGAATTAATGGTAGGTATTCTAGCTTGGTATGGTGCGTAAGGTAATGGGTTGATGTTTACATGGTAGGCGTGCGATGCAAGATGTGATATCGAGGCAGTGACAGGCGGCAGTTGAATGGTTGCCGCCCAGCCTGAGGTACTCTGCTGTTGGGATCCTGGCCCGTGGTACTGTACTTGTGTAGTGTTCAGACGCAAGGCCCTGGGTAGTGTTGTGTAGTGTAGGTGTGCAGCTGCCTACTGGCGCCTCTCCCCGTTTTCACCCCCGCCCGCCGTCTCTTTTCAGATGTGTCCGCCTTGATGGCAATCGCTAACGCTGTGCAGGCTACTGCGCCGTCGGACCGCCCCATGAAGTGTCCGCTGTGTATGGGCATCATCAAGCAGGCACGCAACCTGCGGCGCCACGTGTTCAAGCGTCACCTGCCCGCTGCCAAACGCGGCGAGATCACCGAAGCCGACGTCAAGAACGTGCTTGAGAGTAAGTTAAAGGCCATCACTGTCACTCCACTCACAGAGGATGAGTTGCGTCAGGTGCAGCAACGCACACGACGCAAGGGTATAAGGACGCCGCGTAAAAAGAAAGGCATTGCATCTCTTCCCGATGGTGTTAATGGGTCCAATATCAACGAGTCCGAAGTGACGATCCGCAAACTGCCGCAAAAGAAAGACAAGAAAGATAAGGTAGGAAGTGTCACTGGCATGTCATCTTCTGGCATAATGAGTGGTAATGAAACCGGACGAGAAGGGCGAGAGGATATCCTTCAGGAAGCACTGGCAGCACGAGACAAGGATGTGGCCCCACAGGATGAAGTGATGGACCTAGCCACCACCCAACAGCAACTGCCTCCCATATCTGTTGTGGTGTCTCACAGTGGACACTCTGGCGTCCAGGTGGCGTCCCAACCCATGTCACTCACCGTGACACAGACGGCGGGTGGTATTCATGCTCGTATACCGGCAGATGCGGCACTGGGAGCCGGGGTACGGCTACAGGCTGACTCCCCGCTTCCCCTTCACCGTGACCTGCCTACCATGCCACCTATGGCGTTCGAGCCTCAGGTGACCATTAGCGAGGGTTTGGTTACGTACCACACCACCTCACCTTCCCAAGTGCTGACCCAGACTACAACATCATCTCCGTCAGCATCTGGGTATGCTCCAACCTCATATTGGTCGCCATCGGGAATGGCGCTTCCTACTGGCACCTTCCAACCCCACCAAAGTGTGTTTGCCCCGGCTCACTCTGAGTACTTCACTGCGGGCGTTCACATGGCTCGCCCAGCCTCCCTAGAGCGCATGCAGCAGCACCGCCGTAAACCCTACCAGTGAGGCTGCTCAACTCATTGGGGAGGCCCCCAACTGCAGTTAGAATCGCCCGTATCACTGCTTGTTCGTCCTCCCGCACAAAGCCATGAACTCAGTTACTTTGTGTCTGGCTCCAGATAGAGGTACTGCGGGTGGTTGAAGGTGACTGGCAAGGGGCGGGTGTAGACACAAGCCCTCACCACCACCGACCTCGTAGTGCAGTAGAGTACAACATTTTTATATAGCAAGGACGGGAATTATCTGTGTGTCCAGTTATTTTAGTTTGTACTGAGGGTACAAGTGAACTCTATGATTGAAATTAGTGTTTTTATCTGTGCTTTCCTTGTTGCTTGTATGTTGGAACAAGATCGGTATATGGTTGCTGAAGTCATACAGAGCTTCGAAAGAGCTGCCGTGGCTGCCAAGCTTAACAGGTAGTGTGTCTGATGTGTGCTGCTGTCACATATGTAATGGCCTAACTCTCCCATGTGTAGTAGTTTATAATTACTAAATGAGATAAATATGATTATCACATGTATCGGCTGCTGTGTGACTCGTTCAAAGAAGACCTTTTATGCAATTTTAGTAGGAAATGGTGGCATTAATAAATGTAAGAATCCCTTACAGAAATGGGAGGTTTCAGAGCCTTTTGAAAGTTACATTAGAGTACCTGTTTTATGGATGACATGTGTTGTGTGTGTGTGTGTGTGTGTGTGTGTGTGTGTGTGTGTGTGTGTGTGTGTGTGTGTGTGTGTGTGTGTGTGTGTGTGTGTGTGTGTGTGTGTGCCTGAGTCAGGTGTTGTGCCAGATACTGAACAGGTTGGTGTTGAAGGTGCATCTGTGTTATGAGTAAATTTGTAAATCAGATTTATGCTAAATCTTGTGATTGTTTTTGTAAGTTAATATATATTACTGATGCATTTGTTATTTTGAATGGCTGCCTAAACTAAGTCTTATGTGACAATAAATAATTTTGTAATATAAAGAAAGCTCTGATTCAAACCAAATATATATGTAATAATCATTTCACAATGTTTATCTTTTTTCTATTAACCTGTTGATCTAATGATGTATTAGTTGTGAACAAGGGCATATGTCTATGTTGTGAATATGAGACCCACTCCAGCGGCCAGCACATGAGCGGGATGAATAGAAGATGAATAGTGTGTGTCGTCTGCTGAATCATTCTTGAAGTGAATATTGATTTGTATGTTGGTATGAACTAGGAGGGGTGGGGGGGGGGGGGGGAAGGGGGTTTGTTCATCATGCTAGATTTATGTCTTATGTATTTATAACATTATGTTTCATGTGTTAACAAAGTTTTAAATATTGTAGAATAAATTAACATTGATAGTCAAGTTTTGCATATTCTGTACTGTAAGTACTGGGATGAGTTGTATGTCTGGCATTCAACATTTAATATGCAGAATTATGTTTTAGTGCACATCAAATCTAAATACCGTATATGTTTATTGCTTTTGTTAGAAAGAAAGTTACGTGTGTGTGTGCACATAGCAACTAATCGCAAAATAATATACTGTAGACCTATATTAAGATAAATCATACCAATGTTTTATCGTATTCATCTTGAAGTAGATGTGTGTGTGTGGGTGCAGATGTGACTGTGGGTTTGGGTGTGTACACTCTACACACACATGCTTACTATCTACTGACTGCGTGGAAAAGTCTTTTGCAAAGTCTTCATGTGGTGTGAGTTTACCACTCAAATCATGCATTGTGTTGAATAATAGTTTGTAGTTCATGTAACTTGTATAGTAAACAATATTAGACTAACAAAGACTGTAACCTCTAGAGGTTACAGTCAGCCTCATGTGTGGTTTTGTAACTAGGTGAAGCTTAAGAGAGCGTCTAGTATTACTCTCAGTATCACTTATCAAAGAGTTCAAATGTAAAGGTGTCCCTGGGGTTGTAGCGCCTGGCTCAGTGTGGAGGCCAGTGTCTCATACCTACGGGGTCTCCATACACTTACCTATGAGTATAAACAGTGGGACATCACAATACCCTTCTCGGTTGAGTCTGTCTGCCCATTCCCTAAGTTGGCCCTCATAGATAATGCAGACTTCCAGATACGGTTTACATTAGCGGTTAAGTGTGTTATGATTTTAACACAGGTCACTGATAAAGAAACGCATATTGTAATATAAGTGGAAAAGATTTTTAGCCTCACTTGAACATACAATTCAGTAGTTAGTGATGAACTTCACAAGCTGAAGGAGGTGTCTTTACAATACTGTAGCACAAGAGTATTAGCTGACTTATAAATAATACCAGTGATAAGTTTGTGTTCCTCCGTGCTGAGGCGCACTCCTGGGCAAGGTGGCCGGCTGGACAGTGGTCCCACAAGTACCCACATTCAAATCATTTCATGTCATTTTCAAATTATACGCTTTTTAGTTTAGACATAACATATGTAGTGTAAAGTCTAAGTTTTAAGGTTTGAATCAATAAATACAGAATATTACTTTGCAATAGAATTTTCGATATTTGCTCCTGCGATTTTAGCCTAAAACTATTATATATAATATTAAATAATCTATTATAACAAATCAAAGTTGTCTTTCAAAGCACTTACTGTATGTATTATATATATATATATATATATATATATATATATATATATATATATATATATATATATATATATATATATATATATATATATATATATATATATATATATATATATATATATATGTTAGTAGCAGTCTTTCTTGTAAACATATGTTGTTAAATATGACCGAAAAAGTAAGATTAATAATTCTAACACGAATTTTCTCAATATTTCTTATGTTTCTTTTTACTGTCGATGGTAATTGAAAAATCAATTCTCCAAAATTCATTTTTATTTCTAGTCTGACGCGACGCCTGAACGCGTTTCGTAATTACCTATTACATTTTTAAAGACTTTAGTTTACACACACAATTGTAACCTGTAAACACGCCATTTGTTGATTGATTCAACACCATCAATCAACAGCCAATTAATGTACAACTATATTCTACCCACTTCAAGACTCCGTACCAATATAGAAGCATCAAGAGGAAGTATGGGCCAATAGGCCCTTTGCAGTTACTTCCATTCTTATGCTCTCATGTATCCAATTAATACCCCATTGTTCCGTGTTCTGTCTTGTGTTTGTCACAAGTTTGTTCACCTCATCCAAAACTGTTGCACCATATCACCTCACCCAAATGCGAGTATAAATATGGAAGCAAATGGCGTGTTTACAGGTTACAGTTGTGTGTGTAAACTAAAGTCTTTGAAAATGCAATAAGTTATTACAAAACGCGTTCAGGCGTCGCGTCAGACTAGAAATAAAAATGAATTTTGGAGAATTGATTTTTCAATTACCATCGACAGTAAAAAGAAACATAAGAAATATTGAGAAAATTCGTGTTAGAATTATTAATCTTACTTTTTCGGTCATATTTAATAATATGTATATATATATATATATTTTTTTTGTATATATATATATATATATATATATATATATATATATATATATATATATATATATATATATATATATATATATATATACATACTGTCATTTGCTTTCTGCATATTTGATTTTTCCAAGATCATTGGGAAGTATTTTGTCATTTATATAGTGAATATATGTTACATTTTCTCTAAACACGATTTAATCAATTATGGACTCCATGAAAGCAAAATAATATTTTTTATAATTTATATTTTTGTATAATGCATTGTTGTGTTCATAAAAATAATATTATGTGTTATAGTTGCCAACATGTAGTTGTAAAGGAATGACCATGATATTAGACTGTGTGATTGTAGTTGATGCTTCCGAGATTGTACGGGACATGTACTGTGTTTGGAGTTGTGATACGTGCCGAACACTGATGCACGGAGAGTTGCTAGTTGAGCGTCGTACACTCCTGCAGTGTGGTTAATGATTGCAGTGGCAGCATTCACGTTTGCGCTCTCATACAATGGTCAATTCCTTGTAATAATAAAGATGAGAGGATCCTACAGTTTGGTAGCCAGAATTAGTACTAGATGATGTGATAAGTGAGGAAATGTGAGAGTTGTTGAAATAGACACATTTGACAAAGGACAGAACACTCGGCAGCACCATCCTGGACACAAGGGTCAGCCACGGCAGCAGTGACAGCTCTGTTGGCCTTTACAAGTCAGACTGTCCACTTATACACTACTCATCTCAAACATGTTCAGTACTTGACTACATCTTGATCCCTCCCTCATTTGTACCCCATTGTTAAATGCTGAATATAGAAAAGTGCTCCTGGATGTATGTATTACAAATTATAAAATCTTTTCAGTATTTTATGATAGGACTCTTGTAATACTTTGCAATGATCAAAAATTTTCCTTTTGTTGAAATATATGTAGTTAGTGATGAAAACCCTGAAAGCAAGGCAAGTTACTAAACAAGGGCAATTAAGTGGGAGAATTCCTTGATAGTGATGCAGAAGAGGGAGTGGTCTGGAAGTAAGAGTATGCCTTGGTAGTGATGTAGAAGTGGGAGTATGCCTTGGTAGTGATGTAAAAGAGGGAGTATGCCTTGGTAGGGTTGTAGAGGAGGGAGTATGCCTTGGTAGTGATGTAAAAGAGGGAGTATGCCTTGGTAGGGTTGTAGAGGAGGGAGTATGCCTTGGTAGTGATGTAAAAGAGGGAGTATGCCTTGGTAGGGTTGTAGAGGAGGGAGTATGCCTTGGTAGTGATGTAAAAGAGGGAGTATGCCTTGGTAGTGATGTAGAAGTGGGAGTATGCCTTGGTAGTGATGTAAAAGAGGGAGTATGCCTTGGTAGGGTTGTAGAGGAGGGAGTATGCCTTGGTATGGATGTAGAAGAGGGAGTATGCCTTGGTAGGGATGCAGAAGTGGGAGTATGCCTTGGTAGGGATGTAGAAGTGGGAGTATGCCTTGGTAGGGTTGTAGAGGAGGGAGTATGCCTTGGTAGGGATGTAGAAGAGGGAGTATGCCTTGGTAGGGATGTAGAAGAGGGAGTATGCCTTGGTAGTGATGTAAAAGTGGGAGTATGCCTTGGTAGTGATGTAGAAGTGGGAGTATGCCTTGGTAGGGTTGAAGTGGGAGTATGCCTTGGTAGGGTTGTAGAAGTGGGAGTATGCCTTGGTAGTGATGGAGTAGAGGGAGTATGCCTTGGTAGTGTTCTGGAAGTGGAAATATGCCTTGGTAGTGTTCTGGAAGTGGAAATATGCCTTGGTAGTGTTCCGGAAATGGGAGTATGCCTTGGCTGTGTTTAGAAATGAGATTATGCCTTGACAGAGTTGCAGAAGAGGCAGTATGCCTTAGGAAGGCACAAGAAAACGTGAGTGTATTCCCCGGTTGTTACATGTGCCAAATGTGAGCAGGTTGTATGCACGTCTCGCCCAAAGACCTGTACAGTATTCTGAAATTCTGTACTTGATAAGTAAGGTAAATTACGGGGACATGAGGCTTGATCGGTGCTGAGTGTTGGCGATGCTTAGTTGACTAAGTTTCTCTTTGGAGATCATTTTTTGTTTTGATGTGTAGTCGAAATAATGTTTAGGAATAAAATATATATTATGTTTTACTAATGGTTTATGTATTTATTGAGTCATCAATAACCATCCAACCAGCAACTACCAGAACTGTCAACAACAACAAAATACAGTCATTTGTTTTCATATATAATGCTTCTAATAATCTATTTACTATTTATTCTACAATAAAACTCAGTAGATTTATAAGGGATATCTTTCTGCTCTCTTCCTGTCACCAATGGCAGCATTTTGTTTAAGTGTGGTCATTCACCTTTCATCTGAATTCTTTAAATGCATCATATACTCAAACACTTGAGGTTCAGACCGTGGTGCGTATACTGTCTCGTACACTGGTCACTTTGCAAGCTTGGGTTTACTAGTGCCAAAATTGCCACAGTTGCCACAGCTCCTACGAGTGGTGCAGCTGGTGTGAGTGGCCCGCAGCTGCGCATATTCCACGGCACTGGTGACATAGCTCTTAGGGTGGCATGGCCAGTCGAGCATTATCTTCCCTCACACCCCTGGATTTATTGAAATATACGAATATATGAAATGGGTACGAAGTATCCTCCCAAAATGTTTGTTCGGAACGCAGTTAGTTCTGTGTTGATCAAGGTTTCTACTTACAGCCCATTGAAGGTCGTGTTGATCATTGAACAGAAAATACAGCTGTTTAGGAAGGTTGGAAGTAGTATTTCATAGAGTACAGTGCCGAATGAGGAATACAAATATGTTTTAATAATTTTAAGAATGAGGCTACAGTATATAGAGCAACACCAAGCTTAGAGAACATTTTATTGAGGATGATGATTGATCTGTAATGACCTTAAACGTAAAAGATTATCTTGAATAGATTACTTTCAAATTTAATCTCTGGCCAGTCAAGAATAATGATAATCTCTCTGCTTTATATACGAATAGTGAAAGTTATAATACGCCAGGCACCAGAAGCCTCTTGAGAAGCACTGAGCAACGAGGTGATGACGTGTGGAAGTGTTGCAGGTCAAGTGTTACAGGTCACATTTTGCAGGTCAAGTATTGCAGATCAAGTGTTGCAGGTCAAGTGTTACAGGTCAAGTGTTACATGTCAAGAGTTGCAGATCAAGTGTTGCAGATCAAGTGTTGTAGGTCAAGAGTTACAGGTCAAGTGTTACAGGTCAAGTATTGCTGGTCAATTGTTGCAGGTTAAGTGTTACAGGTCAATTATTGCAGGTCAGATGTTGCAGGTCAAGTGTTGCAGGTCAAGTATTACAGGTCAAGATCTGTACTGTAACAACAACGTCAGATGTAGTGATAGTGTCTCGTGGCTGGTGAAGGTGCTAGGAACAGTAGTGTAGGAGGGGCCCGGCCTCATCACTTAACATAAAAAGTTGAATGACTAAACACCTCAACAAAATTTGAGAGAAGTCAATATTTTTTGTGATGAGAATGTTGTTAATTTCAATTACCTCTTCATATTCCTTTCTACAGCTATGGCTCACAGAGTTACATCTTCTTGGAATTCTGATTTTGGCGAATACTGTACCAAAACACAACCGAGGTTATCTTCTTGAGCTTATCTTGAGGTAATTTCGGGGCTTAGCGTCCTCGCGGCCCGGTCACTTTTTTGTTACACACAAAAAGGTTTTTGTTTTGGATGTTGTTAGCAGCCCGTAGCAGCTGTCTAACTCACAGGTACCTACTTTACTGCTAGGTAACAGGGGTATCAGAGTGAAAGAAACTCTGCCCATTTGTTTCCGCCTCCACCGGGGATCGAACCCGGAACCTCAGAACTACGAATCCAAAGCGCTGTCCACTCAGCTTTCAGGCCCCGAACACACAGATATGTCACAAATATTTTGTGAACCAAAATACAGTAACACAGATTGGATGACATCTTCCTTCTTTGTCTGTTAACATCTTGCAGTACTTGCAGTAGTGACTTCTATTGTTAAGCATTGCATGAGTGCACTCTAGAATGATCTGAAATACGTTATCAATAGAGAAGTTGTCTTATAAAGTCTGCCAAGATGCCTGCAAGTCTTATTTCCAAGTCTCCGGGTTGAGCTGCTTCTTCATATCCTGACCCACAGTTTCCCAGAGGATCACTTCCTGAAAATTTCCAGAGGAAGCCACAAGAATGATGTTATATTTTCCAGCCTTCTTTTTCACATCTTCAGTTCGACGACGAAGAGCTTTAGCATGTTGGGAAAAGTGTTCATGTAAACACTGGAAGTAGAGTGTTGAGAAGAGTTGATCACAAAGGTGTTGCAGGGACCCTAGTCATTGTCCTGTGGATCTTACGAGAGTCCTGTTCTTTAGCAGTCCCTCCTGTTGTTCACTGGCTTAGGAGGGAAATCCTCAGGTGGTAATTATACTGGTTGAGGTGCTCACCTAGTCATGTCCCCATGTTCTCCTGTGTTCCCAAAGCATCTGCGTAGAGACGTGTCTAAAAATATGACCTTAAACCTGTCTCTTTAGTTTGTTTGCCTTGCATGAGAAACCATTCTGCATCAAATACCACTTACTATGTAAGCTGTGACTGACTCTCCTGTCCCTCCAGCACATCTGCAAGTACACTTTGATGGCTTCTATTTCCTGCAGACATGGTTGATTCGTAAGGCAATCTTAGCAGTCAGATCAGTCTAGGCTCAGTGCTTTGAGTGTGCACTTACTTGATAATTTCCTGTCTTTTTCCACTTTAGAATAATTCTGCCAATAGGACATTTTCGTCGCAACATGTGATGTATAATTAATTTTAAGACTTGCTAGGTCAGAGTTCTTGAGCATTACTTCGAGCATACTCTGTAAATATACTGTAGAACATTTTACTTTTTTTTAACACAGGTGAGCACAGGAGCATATCACTTTTGGCTCGTGTTAGCAGGCTCAGAGCTTTCCCTTCCCAAAGCTCATGGTAAGCGTTACCTTACTAGTTTCCCTGGAACATGACCGATCAATCTGTTTACAACCAGGTTCCCAATACTGCTGGGTGAACAAAGGCGCCTTGTCAACCTCTGTGTGCAGGGCTCATTGACAGTCACTCAGGAGGCGAGTGTAGCACCATCAGGTAACATGCTGAAATAATACTGCAAGAAAATCTTGGGTGAACACGAAACAATGACCATAAACTGGATGTTTAGATTTAGGAAAGACCTGGGTAAATACTGATTCGATAACAGGGTTGTTGGTTTGTGGAACCAATTACCGTGTAACATAATAGAAGTACGATCCCTTGATTGTTTCAAGAGTAGGTTAGACATATATATATATATGAATGAGTTTGGTAGGATATAAATAGGTGCTGCCTCGTATGGGCCAAAAGGCCTTCTGTAGTTTCCTTGAATCTCATGTTGTTATGTGTGTAAAGTACAAGGGACGAGGGAGGTGGGCACGTACCTGGACAGTGTTGACCACGTAGCTTGACAGTGTTGACCTGAGACAGTGAAACACGTCCCAGCTGAGTCTGGGTACAAGTGACGGGATGAACACCCCAGCGGAGTGTTTGTTGTTGGAGGGAAACATGTCGGCGTGTCTTCACTCCCATACTACGCTCTCATTTACTTCAGTAAATTTGCTCCTCGAGACAAAATTTTAATTTAAAGTAAGCAGTTATCAGAAGAAGATGGTAAGGCAACATGGACATTTAACCTCAGACGGTAAGGAGAAAGTGGACCACTATACTGTATATATATAACGACATAAAATGAGGGAAATTTTCTGGAAAATAATTCCTATTGTCATGGACAGGAAGCCTTGAAGCCTTATCCTCGCTTGTATCGAGGTCCCTCCCCATGTTATAATAATAATAATAATAATTTATTTATAAGAAAGTGAGCACAACGAACACAAGACACTTGCAGATACAGCGTGGCGCAGAAAATGAAGCCTACGCACAGCGTTTCTGACAAAACGTACAATAATTAAGATAAAAATAATTTATAGGTATAATGAAGTAAACATTTAATACTAAAACAGAGGTAAGTTAACATTTGCGAGAAATTGAAATTGAAATAAGTTTATATTTGTGAGAATGTTATAACAAATGATATCCGATATACTTAATGATGGCAGGCATAGACTACTACAGTATTTAGTCTAGTTCTAGCAACGGTACAGAAGTCGTTTTTAACATTATTAATAAAAGAATAAACAGGTGTATTTTAGTAAAGCCATTTGAACATAACACAACATACAGTAAATCAGTAAAATTGACATTTTAATGGGGTTAAACACTCAACAATAAGCAAGTAAGATATAAATTACTTGAGTACGCAATTTAACAAAACTAGATGTATTAATTAGATAACACTTAATAAAGAAAGACATGAATTTTTAGTCAATATAATTTAAGATAACAGTAATACACAAATAGTAGCTATTTGCGATGGGAAAATGTGAGTGAAACTAGTAACACGATATTAAGGAAATATTTCCTAGTCTCTCTTTTAAACTGGTTGGGAGACACACAGCTTGTACTGACATTTGGGAGCTCATTCCACAATTTGGGACCCTTGGTTTGCGTAGTATTTCTGCTTTGGTTGAGTCTCACTCTAGGAATATCAAAAAAATATTTGTTTCTCATGTGGTGCCCATGAGTTCGATTACAGCCCTCAAGGAAGCTCTTACCGTCAGGACTGGCATTGCAGTTCAGAGTTCATAGATACAGAGAACACTTAGAAATATGTGCAGAGACTTGATATTTAACATGTTCAAAGATTTCAGTAAGGGAGCAGAGTGGTGTCTGGGACTGAAGTTTTTCTAGTTCTAATTGCTGACTTTTGATGAGTAATTGGGGTTGGAGGTGAACTACTGACATTCCCATAAAATAGAAACTTAACAGGCACATATGATATACATAATATAGTACACAGCCTATACTTACAGTATACATATACCATCTGAGAAAGCAGCCTGCTGGTCGAAGGTGCTCTTATTTTTATTTTTTAATCAACAATTTTAAACATTTTCGTTCTCGGTGACCCAGAATAAGTAAAGATTCACCTCATTTGTTTGAGAAGCATTTTGGCTGTAGACTGGTGATATTAATGCTGTCAACAAGGTGGGGCAAGGGTGCAAGAGGGAACTGAACACCTGAATGAGTCAGATATGTAGAAACTGAACACATGAATGGGTCAGTTATGTGTGGAAATTGAACACCTGAATGATTCAGATATGTTGAAACTGAACACATGAATAAGTCAGATATGTGGAAACTCAAAACG